AACGATCGCAATTCCCTTTCCAGGATTCGAAGCCTAGATCTTTGGATTGCTAGTTGGATGTGCTACTAAATACATCAAGAAAGCATGCAAGGGAATAGGTGATAATTCTTTATATTCTTCTCCACTTAAAGAGCGGTTGCAGAAATTTCGAGAGTGATCAGATACAAACTCCTTTGATTTAGGAGAAAATACGATCATCGTTCCTCCCGTTTTGTAGATTTTTTTTTTTCTTTCCTGAAAAAGAGAGATCTTTGTCTGACAGACTTCAAAATCAATAGAGTTTTATTCAAAATCTCTGCCAAATTAAGGTTGTTGTTTTGACTAATTTTAAATCTTACACGAACGTGTTTCTCGTGCACTTTGACAGGTTTACTTAATAAATTTTCGCTAAATCGATGTAATACTTTGTAAGTAGTTTTTTTTTTTTTTTTTTTTCTTTTTTGTTGTTGCTGTTGGTGGTTTTTCAGTTAGTTACTCCTTGTCCTACTGCCTTAAATGTTTTCCTTCTTAATATGCCACCCTACTTATGCAATTCCTAACTTTTGCCCTCCTAAATTTTAAAATAAGTGTTCTAATCCATTTCTTGTGTTCCTTTTCCGCTCTTTTTTTAGAGAATTGCTTGTCGATTGCAAGAAGTTTTAAAAATTAGGGTCGTGATGTTAAAAAATCTTAAAGGCTTTGAATTTAGTCGTGAGATGGCAGCACCATACAGTTAGAATGGAATAAAAGAAAGGAAATGGTGTAGTTTCTACTTCTACCGTTAGATGGCAGCACTACTAATATGAACTCGATTTTCCTTTTAATTTTACGTTCGAATGATCAATTTATTGTAATTGACTGAAGTTATCTTGAACTACAAACTGGAACTTTCTTTATCTTGAACTGAAAATAATAAGTAATCTAAAGCGGGGAAGGGGGCGGACCGCTCCAGGCCTCTTATCTGGAGAGACCTCCAAAGAACCTAAGTTTGAAGGTATATGTATTTATATGTAGGTATATAAAAAAGCAATTTTATATTCTAGAAGGATGACTATAAAAATACTGTTTGGAGCAAAAAAATCTGCGAAAAATTTTCAGCCGTTCAGTCATTTCTTCTTACTGAAATAGAAATTCAAGAATTTCCGAAGTTGGTTTACATTCTCAGAGAATCTTTTGATGATATAGAAGGAAATGAAATCTTATCAGAAATTAAACGGTTGAAACATCACCTCCAAGCGGCAAAAGTTGAAGAGAAGGAAGCTAAAAGGTGATCTGTGCCGAAAAGTTTATTATGGAAATGGACTTTAAAAAATCAGTCCCGAACTTCTATTTGGCACTAGGAACTTTTTTTACAGTGTGTGTTACAGTTGCTTCTTGCGAGAGAAGCTTTTCAGAGCTGAAGCTAATTAAAGGCTATCATCGGTCAACAATGAGCCACAAGGGGTCCCCGTTCCAATAAGGGAGGCCACAGGGAGATTTTCGCTCCGGGCATCCATAGCTGCTCTCAAATACAAATATTTTTTTCTGCATTCTAGTTTTCTGAAAATGTTTTCCAAAAATATTTCTTTTTAATTTTTAAATACATAATTTAATAAATGATAACTTTGAAGAGAAAGGCAATACAAATCTTCTGCAATCGTATTTTAAAAAAAAACTAGATTTTAAAATACATGACTTGTTTCATGTAACTATGCAGTCCGAAACTAGAAATACAGGTTGATAATATATAAATACACACAAGTGTATAATGTATAATATACACACAGAAAATTTAAGTAAATTCTAATTTATATGGTTTACAGTCCAATAGAACTGTAACTACACCTTGCCGTAGTCTTTTACCTCAAAATAGAAACTTAAAAATCGTAGCGACGAGGGAATTAGGGGATTTTAACGAACTAGAGGGTTCGATCTATTTCTCAACAGTCGTCACTATGGTTGTGAGCTACAGTTTGGTGAAGAAAATGACCTTAACGTACGTAAAGTAATATAGACTGCCAGACAACTTCTTGTTTTATCTTAATTTAGAGTCCTACAGCACAAGCTGATAATAAAAGGCATGTAAAAGCAGCAAACAAACTGGTACTTGAGCTTGGAATTTATAATTAAGGTTAATTACAAAACTAAACCTCCACTGCTTCCGGCTTAATAATCCAATGTAGCTGGATATTTAAAAGTCAGAATATTATAGACTAAGATCTTGGCTTCTGGTAACTCGCCTTCAAATGCCCACAAGTGAAAATTTAATTCACCAATACTCATCACATCACCTGGAAGAAAACAGAATAATTAAAAATATCTGTGTCTAAATTGCCAAAGCTCCCTCTCTCTCTTAACTTCAACTTTCACTTTTATTTAAACTCACCTGTATATTTTGCATTTTTGGGGGGGAGGAGGCTAATAACTATAGACTTGAAAGAAAGATTTATCAGAAACAACATGTTAATTTAAATAAACCTTATAAGGTATTTATATATCAGTTTTCCTATACTGTGTCACTTCGTTAAAATCCTCATTATTGTCCTTCCTCAAACTTCATTTCGCTTTCGACAACAGTACTCAAATTTAATTCTAACGATTAAGTACACGATCTATTTCAATAACTCTGCCATTCGAAAATGAAAGCCTTTTCGTGAGCATCAACGAAATTTTAAAATAAACGATCGATAATCATTCTTTCTAATATTTTTATTGGTGTATTTCGATAATGTATACTCACTATCATCAACGAATCTTTTGTTCCAAGCAGTTTTACTATTTTTTTTTAACAAAGGCTTCCTCCTCCAGTGTCGAACTTTGCTCAGAGCAATTTTTCTGAAATCACTGAAGCAATAGCTGTCTCATCAACGAAAACTTAGCATCACAAGAGGGTAGACCGATACTGCATTTGCAAGAAAAAAGAAGGACACACTCTGAAGGCAAATCCTTAAAAGGGCACTCGATTTTATTTTAATGATCTTCATCCTCAAAAACAGCAGCTCATTAGTAATATTGAATCTGTGTTATCGAGTTAGAATTAAAACTTTTAAAATGTATAAGATTCTGGAAGATATAGCTCACATGTTTGCATTTACGGACAAATTCTTTCTGTTTGTTCATAAATAATTTGTAAGGTATTTTCTCCCTCCTTTGCGCATGCCTTCGTGGTGTAACTGGAAGTACTGTTAACGCGTATTCGGGAGATCCAAAGTTCAAATCTCGGCCAAGGCATTGCGGGTTTCTTCAATTTCGTTACACTGAAGAAATTCTACAAGGGGAGCCCGAAATAAGAGGAGGTGGACGAGAATTCGTCGCGTTCGTTCGTGTAATCGATATAACCTAATGACGGTACAAGTTCAGAATTTCACAAATTCTTATGTCTGCATAGTGAAATTTTCCATTTTTGGCCGTTATTCTTCTTATTGCCTATACTGACATTTCCATTTTCGTAAAAATCTTATTTTCTAACGTTTTTTTTTTTTTTTTTTTTTTACGGTTTAAATTTTATAATTTTTAAAAATGTAATAGATTTAAATTAATATCTAAATAATAACAAGAAAGCAGAATTAAAATGTTTGGGCTCTGTTATTCGAAAGTCGCTTTGGATGATACAGGCTTAGCGGAAGCTTCCTGATAATCCGAAGTCCAGGCTTTGCTTTCGACGCCTGCGTAATAAATGAACGTAAACCAGCGGCCAAGTGGATAAGACAAATGAATATTGGTAGCTCGATCTGGGTTCAAATCCCAAAAATGAACTGGTCTATGGGCGTTTCTGTGGTTTTTTCCAATATATGACATAAATCCGAGCCAGGTTTCCTTAAAAGGTCTGCCACAAGAGCAATTCGTTTCTTTAGATAAGTAGCTCTGCCTTAATCAAACGTCCAACCAACAATAAACTAACGTCTTACAAAAATTCTGAATTTCACTAAATGAGAGCAAATTATAAGTACAGCAATCCCAGACGTCACGTTAAATCAAAATCCCCCTGATGATAAAAAATAAACTACTTCGGAGAATAATTTTGTAATAAATTTTTGTGTAAATTTACAATGTAGAAACTGATGGTCAATTTGTAATGTTTCTTACATTTAATATATTGTGTAAATTAAGAGATGTTTCAAAATATTCTAAGATCACTATAAGTCGACATCAATCACTTTTAAAATGTAACTTTTAATATGTACACGTTATATGTACATATTAAAAGTTACATTTTAATATAAAGATAATTAATTAAAACATGGTAGTTCAGTCATCAAACAAATCTATATGCTTTCACAATCGAAAATCGAAATCTTTTAAATAGGAACCGAATTGTTACTAATCAACTAGTGTGCGAAGCATCTATCCAGCTGCCGTTGGAGCATCTATGGAAATTCAAAGGGCACGTCGCGTCGCGTTTAACACGCAACGCTAGCGCCATCTATCAATTAATCAAAATAATTTCCACAAGAGGTTAAACTGATGTTTTTATTTAGAATGTTTATAAATTTAATTTTTTTAACGGAACAAGCGATAAAATTTAGTGCAAAATTTTTAATTGCTTCACACAAAAAGCTTAGATATCCCTGGCGATCCCAGTCAGTTTTTGGATGGGACTTTGTGCAAGTAATTATTACGTTTACCTAATTCTTCACTCTATAAACGAGTAACAACATATATCTACGCATTACTGAAAGCTGTCTTCCGGCCAGCGACGATGAACTAACTATTTAACAAACTGGGAATTCCTTTGCGCATTAATTTAAGTACTATAAAATAGTTTCCTTAAGTTCTAGAGGAAATTTTCATTTTAAAAATTAACAAAAGTAATTGAAAATAAATAATCACAGTTTCTCGCGCATCAAAGCTTTTCTTCTACGAGTATATAATTTACCCAACGTAAATGATGTATTTAAGTTAATCACAATAAGAACCAAGTTGGTCAACTCCCTGGCGTAAACTACTGATCTACATTCATTACTCAGAATGTCTTTGATTACGAATGGGCACAGTCACTCGGAATCGTCCCTTTATAGCTAACACGATCGTGGCAAATTGCTACGCAAACTTATAACTCTCATGTAAAAAAAAATGTACATCAGTTACCAATTGAAAGATTTCTCTGTTGACTCGAAGATATGATGGCGTTCAAATTTAAGTGAAATTTGAAATCAGGCGATTGCAGTCAGCCATCCGCTTAATTTCCCTTACCACGTTTTCTATTTGTAGATTCTTCAGCGAAGGTGTCTGCCGGAAAGTTACTAATCATTGAAGCGGATACGAAATGAGTGGCATTTATTCAACTCGGCATCAAATAGTAGTCGAGAAAGAGGTCAAGCAATTTAACCAAAACTCGCCTTTATGCTTGGACAGGCACAGTCTTCGTTAAAAATAACCGGGTGACCTAGTTTGTCCTTGACATTGAACATCTTTCATTTGGTAACTTTCGTAGGTAATCATAGCCGTTCTCTATTTCTTTCGAGCATAATGACAAATTTTATGTGCGATATCGTACCCGATGCTCCTAATTAAAGTGATATTACTGACTCCCTAATGGTGCTAAACCGAGTGGAAGTGACATTGTGTTATGCAGTTTTTCAGATTTGTCTGTGTTTACAATGCTTTCAATGTTTGGTATTGCGCTTGGTTCAGAATGGAAAGACGTCTACATTCAACTATACAGCAAATGGATTAACAAGTAAGGCCGCTTTTTTTTTTAACCAAGAAATTATTTTTTTGAAAAAAATTCAGAATTGTAGTATAGATCATAGTGAAACCAAATAATCCAAAAATCTTGATGATTATGCCGTCTTTTTTTTTCTATAAACCAAATATATGTTAATTATTAAGCAAATAAGTGGAGAGGAGATCTTATTTCTTTATCTGACATATTTCAACTAAGATTATGTAGTTATATATATTTTTTTAAATTTTTATAAAAACGTTATGTTGTTTCCTTTAATTTACATCCTTGTCTTGTTATGTTACATTGTCTTGGTATGTTAGATGTTTTACTTTGTCTTGATATTATGTTATATTAAATATTATTATGTTATGTTAAACATCATGTTGCCTTTTTTTCTATAAATCAAAAACATTCTTATTACAAATGAAGGAAGTGGAGGAAAGGGTTCAGATGTTTAATTTGTCTTACTTCCGATCAGATTATGTAGTTAAAATTTTAAATATTTTTATTTCCATAAAACAGAATACTTATTTTGGCCAACATGAGTAAGGAAAGTAGTTTTATTTATCAAAACACACATCATGTTCCAATTTTAGTTTAGGTAAAACAAACAAATGCACTTTTATTCAGGTAAGCTCTTAACAAACACACAATCTTATTTTTAATGCCATAACTCATTCAGTAAACAAGAAAATGTATACAGACGTAATTACGTTCTCGTTAACATTTATTATTTAAGTAACTGCATACACTGGAAGCCTGTCACATTAATCTAATTTATCGTATAAATATATATATATATATATATATATATATATATATTAACTGGCTCAGAACGATGCGCGTAACTGAAGATATCAGAAGGTCTCCGAGTTTCTAAATTTTATTTCTTATCTTCTGGAAAAGTACATTTTCTAGTGTAGCCGATTTTAAAAGCATGAACTTTGAGAGGGTAATTTTTAACTTTTATATTTTTCAGTTTAATCTATAAATTGAATTATTATGTATGACTATTTTATGAACATCTTTTACATTTATATATGTAGCGTAACACATTGCAGGCACCTAACTTTTAATGATAGTGCTTGCTGACGCATAAAATGAAAATATTATTATCAGTTGTCACAAAAACATTTTCAGGAAATCTGATTTTGTTAATTTAAACGTGGTGAAATTTGTGTAGTACCGTACACATAAACGCTTAAATCCTTTTTATGTTTCAAACACATGAGATCAACGGTAATTCTCACAGTTGTTATTGTTGTTGTTGTGACTCATATCACTTATCTGTCAGTAACATCAGAAAAGCCCACGAAATTCATCTTGGCAAAGAGAGCAAGAATGCGCCTGTCGTTAGCATGAGCTTTGAGCACCATACGGGTGACAATACGAATTTACTCAGTTCCGCCCGTTTTGATGGAGAGCACCCGAGGGGGGAGTACGGGTCCGAGGTCTTTCCCTACCACCAACCTCTCGAGAGGACTTTCGGCTCGCCAAATATTTAGAGTGCATCCATGCAGCACAGACACTGTACATTTACAAACATCTATGCCTTCTCCGAGATTAGAAGTCGGGTCTTTCGATATCAAATTAATTAGTTAATATAATTGAAATTAGTTAATATGATTTAGTTAATATGAATATGGGAAGATTTATTTTTTCCTCACCAATTATGCTTCTAGAAAATGTATTCTATGTGCATCTTTCTAAATAGCGAAGCTGACTGAAGGGAGCTCTATGTCAAAAACGTTTTGCTTTGTTACGTTAACTAATAATAGAAAGAAATCTAATTTGCGCAACTGAGCTCTACTTGCACAACAATGACTGCGACTTTACGGCGGCGCTCATTTTAAATTTAAAACTGTTCTTCATAAAACTGCTTATGAACATTTATAAAGATCAAGTACACGTTAATACCTTATGTTTAACTTATGAACCAAATTTTCTAATAAGCTATTTCATTTCATTTTTGTTCTGCAGTAATTGTGAATAATTCTTTCTTGTCGACCAATGACTAACCTGCACAGAGGTGGCAACACTTTCACGACGAGGCCGCGACAATTTTAGCTCATAGCTAATGAGCTGTTATCCATGACTATAATTGTCTGTATGTTTGATAAACCTAATTTAGTTTTCGTCTAGAAACAGTTTCTAGGTGTATTCTGTGAGAATAACAAGAGAACAGAGGTACTGAATTGTTAAGTCAGTAAAGAAGGACGTGTGTTGTTTATATTTTCATTTATCTTTAGTTTAACGGTAAGGAGAAGAGGCTCTTTTAGACTGCAACTTATGTTTTAGTTTGCGTTTTATCGGAAGCGCAGGTATTCCTGAAAATGTTTAGTTTGGTTTAAAACATGAGTAACTGTTGTAGCAATAAAAGTACCTTCAAGGTAAAATGGAAAACTCGCCGGAAATTTACAGATTCTAATTATTTATCAGTTTATAGAGTTTGACTAGCATAAATTAGTATTAAACTCCTAATAGACGTTAAGTGAATTATTGCTTTCTGAAATGGACTACACAGCCTTGAAAGGTTCTAAAACACATGTTTTTTCAAACAGAACTTAGAACATAAACGCACTTCTAGTGCTCACAGGATCATCCACCACCTGTGGCCATGTAACTAAAGTAATAGTCAAATTTAAAATTTAACCTAGTAGTCAAAGACTACTCTTTAATTTTAATCTAAGCTCGCTCAGAACTTCTCACCAGCGTAATAATTTTAAATGACGGCAGCTATAACGCAAACACGAATAACTGCAATCTTCTGTGAGCTAGCAAAATTAAATAACGTGGACTCTAGAGGCAAAAACATACTTTTTTAATATCCCAAAATCTCAGCTTAAATACTGTCCAACTCATTTATATTTCTAATAAGGAAATGGAAGGGAGAAAGTATAGTAAAGGCTGAAATTATAAATAACCAGTTAATTTAAATAATAAAGGTTTTATAAATTATCTTCAATGTCAGCGTAAGCAAATATCGTTTACAAATGATTTACTCAACAGAAAAATTATCTGAACTTGTCTTCATTCCACAGACGTAAATAACCGAGGCTATACGTGTTTCAGATGCTCTTGAACTTACATTTTGAGTATTGTTGGGAGTTTTACACCGACATAACTGGATCAGATATTCTAAAACCATTAGTGTTCCTGAATTTTGTTATATTCCATGGTATAGCTTTTAATGGTAACTTTATTCTTCAGTCAGTTTAGATGATAAAGAAAAATGCATGCCAGACATCGGTTGTTTCAGCGCCGGCCCGCCCTTTTTCCACGCTCTCAACAGGCCGATCAGCCTTTTACCTCAGGACAGGGACGACGTTGCCACAGCCTTTTTGCTTTATACCAGAAAGAATCCCCACATATTCCAGTTCCTGAGAGCAGGAGATCTCATCAGCATTCTAGAATCCGACTTTCTATTGGAGACGGAGACAAAAATCATCATCCCTGGCTGGATGGATAATATGAAAGTCTCCAATTGGATGCAGGTACGTTGGATCAGTTCATTATTATTATTAAATAATATATAAATTTTGTATTACAAGATAGATTAAAAATATTTCTCAGTATGACATTGAATTATCACTTCCGCATGAAGGCATGACACGCGCTACATTGTCAGAAAATAGGAAGTTTCCATACAGTCACGTTCCTTTTCTAACAGTACTAATAATCAATAAAGTCCAACTATTTATTCCCTTTAGTCCTTTCTTTTAAAATGTACATGTACTCCACGATTAAGAATCTAAGTTAAAATAATAACGATTCTAATATTTTAATAATACTAATATCTTAATAATAACAAATTATCTTAAAACCGCCATAAAAAATTAGTTTCACATTGCTTCAGACAGTAAACTCTGTATATAACTTATACATTTGCTTCGCTTGGTTGGTGTATAAGATCTCTCGTCTGCGTGTTAATATACAGGCCCTCGGAATGAATGATAGGATTCATGAGGCCTCTAAATATGTACTATGAAATGTTTTTATTTAATTAAAACTGTTTTTATTTAATTTAGTCTTTCAGAAAAATCATGAACAATATTGAGAAGTTCCAATATGTGTACCAATAACAGCACTAAGTTTCAATAGGTACATCACTAACAACATGCCAGATGTCATAACAATATTAAGTTTCGCTCCATGTTCTGCATAAACGTCAGGTATAAAGCCTTGCAACTGTTTATGTGATTGATTCTCTTCTTGAAATGATTAAATTTATCAATTTGTTAGCTGTAAAATGCATTTTTTAGAAAGCTCCAGAATAAGATGTCTGATGGGACCAGGGCATTTTGTGGGCCATGGGATAGGTTAATATCTGCCAACCTCTGTCCCTGAAAGCTACGATTTAACTTATCTCGCACATGATTCGCAAAGTGAAGGATGCTCTATCTTATAGAAAGAAGATCATCAGCTCAATGGTTTTCATTTCTGTTTGCTCGATTTGAGGGAATAGAAAACTTTTTACTAGACCGAGCTCACATTCATGTTGATATTACTTTCAGCAAAGAAGAAGGTCTAAAAAATTTTTACTCATTAGCTCCCATGAGGATCTTAGGAAGATATCGAATGTGTTCATGTGCTATATACTGTCCGACCACGTATTCCAGATTTATGTAAATATCCGGTTTGGGGCGGAAGTGGGCATTATATTCGTTTATTCATTATTTGATTTTTATATCAATCTTATACCATCAATTTCCGCCACAAAGCCATTAGTTGATAATACATTTCTCATTTCTTTCTGAGGTTACGGCCCTCTCTACCGTCCTCAGAATCTTTATGCATCGTCTCTCCCGCCCCCGAGCGACCTCTCAAGTGGTGCGCTTCTCGGCCAAGGGGAATCTTGAAGGGCTAAGGGAACTGATAGATCAGTGATGTAGGGGTGAGTGCAGTAGCCTAGTTTAGATTTAAATGGTTCTTCCATTTCACACTCTATCTTTCGAGTGCTTCGCAATAGAAAATTTTTGTCTGCGCTTTATACATTTTAAGCTGATGTACCGTGAAATTTTAAAATTATAGAATTAAATTAAAATGCATAGAAACATCAGATCGTAACTTTTTAAAGAAAAACCATTAAAAGAACTGTAATAGTAAACTATTTGTCTTAATACAAGTCATCGTCAGTTTATAAATATTTTAATAGATAATATTAATTTAATAATAATTTAATAGATAACAATTAAATTAATAATCATTTAGATAATGCATCTTAGTTAATTTTTAATATTTTCAAACATTGAATGAAAAACTTTTATCAAATAAATATTCTTTAATAAATTGCATTTATTAATATAATCAAATGATCTATAAATAAAATAAAGCAATTTAATGAGAAGAGATTGCATAAAAATTATTTTAATTTTAATTACACATGTCACACCTTTTTCCCCCCTTTACATTTATTTTGGTGACATAGCGGTCGTCGGAACTCGTACAGAATTCAGAATCCGAATTGTCGCTGACAGTAAAACTCAATGGTTCACACAATTCCTCTATAATACCATCTTTTCTCCAATATTCAGTTTCTAAATTCTTTACATAATAACAGTACTTCTTCCAATTGTTCACCCACGAGCCAGTTTTCCTTAGAAAGTCCTCCACGAAGGCATCCCTCCCCCTTAGGCAGATAGCCCTTGTGTGCTTTGCCGTAATTAAATAAACCAAACCAAACCAAACCAAACCAATTGTTCACCGAAACACCTTCAATAGCCTCGTTTGTGAAACGCAATAAATTCGACATGGTTTATATCTGCAGTCGTGTTCTGACTTGGAACATAATTTTTTTACTTCAGCCCACACATATTCTATGGCGTTTATATCACAGTGATATGGAGGGAGTCGCAGAACTGTATGGCCTTGTTATTCCATTATACAATCAAATTTGAAAGTTTTAACTTTGGGAGCATTTGGAACAAAAAGAAATGTTTTTTGTCAGCCACTGCATTATATCTTCCTTTTTTGGGGAGGTATTGAGGGTTTCATTTAGCTGCTCCGAATGATACGGCGCATTATCAATAATTAGTATAACAGATTTGGCGGTAGGTTTGAAATTAACTTCTCGTTTGCTCATTTTTCAAATATTGAAGAATTCATTTGTCCGTGATAATCGCCAGTTGTAGAGTTCGTTTCATAAATTAAACTAGTATTGGGAATGAACCCATCTCACAAGCAGCACATAAAATTATTATGCGTCGAGAGGCATTCCCTGTTTCTAAAATCCCACTGACTTCATTTGATTGCCAGCATTTTCCAAACGTTAAATTGCTGTCCGCCCATGTTTCATCTATGTAAATTAGGGGACGGGATTCTTCTCTGTACCTTTTAATATTCCTCAAATACATTGTTCTTGACAAAACAATGTCAGGTCTTTCTAGTAAAACACTTCTTTTATTCGGAGACTTTTTCCAGATGAAACCATTTCTCGAAGAATCTTACTTAGCGTTTCTCTTTGCCAAGGAAAATTGATTGTGTCTTTTAATACAGGAAGCAGTTTGATGGCTAAAACTCCATAAGCGGACTAAGTTAGCGCCAAACTATTTTGGCCTTCAAAATTTGGCGAATTTTTTAGGCGGCAATGAAAGCACTAAAATGTTATTTTTAAACGTCAACAGAATAGTAACTTTTAAGTTTTGCAGTAGTGAAACGCCGTTATTTTATGTAAATAGAATAGTAAAATGAGATGGTAAAATACTAGATGAGTAAAAAAAAGTCCAACAGCTTTGCAAGTAAAAGCATAGTCCTATATGTATATGTAATTCATCATAAAATAGTAGAATGAACAATTCTTGTAAATAATTATTAAGTAAATAAATTTATACACTTATCAGATCAGAGCACTGCGAAGTCAGTTTTAAACGTAAACAGAATAGCAAATTATGCGTATTCAGCATCATAAACTAACTAAAATATTCAAGTTACTATCGTCGTGGAATTCAACACACTAAACAACTTTCATTCAAAGCTTTAAATATTTCACATCTTTCGATTGCCACATGCAAGAAAAAAAACTTTAAAAAAATTAAATAAATAAAATTAAACGAAAACATTCAAAAATTATAAACTTCATGTCATATGAAATTCAACATTCTCTTACCAACAACTTCTTCTGCAAATATTTATATAAATATAATATTAAACATCTATATAACAATAATATTAAACTGTAAAACTTTTAAAAACAAACACAGTATTTCAAAATTAAATTTAAAACAAAAATCTGGCTACACTAAATTTACGCTCTTACAGTTACCGAAATAAAGCTGCAGGTTTGCCACAAGAAAACATACAGCAGGAAACCACAACCAAATTAAAATCGTGCCAAAAAAAAAGAACTCTCGCCAAGCTTGGCGCTCACTCCGATTATGGAATTTTAACCAGTTTGATTATAGTTGGCACCTTCTTTTCCTTGACATAAAAGTCTTGAACTGCTCGGCTTAAAATATGCAAATCAAAATTATCTAAGCCTGTACTTACAACAGTTTCTCCCTTTTTTCTTTTTTTAGGGGAAGAGAATTCAACATATTCTTTACTTTCAGATTCTTTTCGAATTCTGTTTATGCTGGCAATAGAAACGTCAGTCATCTTACTCGCTCTGCGTGTTGACTGCGTAACTGGGATGGTCAGTCTTCCTAATTGTGATTCTTCATCACAAACTTTAATCACGTTATACACTAATTTCTTAAAATCGCTGCGGAAAGGTTTATTTCTAGAGCTTTCTGGAACACTAGAACTCATCGTAAAAATGAAGATTTGAAAGTAACAGAAGGTCAGTAACAGCGATGCTCAACGATTGTGAGAAAAAGCATTAAATGACCCCCGACCTCCAAGAGGAAAAAATACCCGCGCTTATCGCCCACACTCTGTGATACTTCTTAAACAATTTGAAGTAAACTCCAATGATGGAGCACAGCAATAACTTTTATTACACTAAAAAAAAATGGCGACAAGAAAACAAGAATAGAAACAAGAGAAGAAAAAGTATAAAAACTTATTTAAAAAAATAATTACATGCTTCGTGCGAGAAAATGAATGCGTCTCTCGAGCCTGCGTTTCAATATTGCCAGTAACCTGTACATTATTTATTTTCATCTATTTCAAATGCACGAGAGACTAATAATGATATTAAAGCTGTTCCAACCGCCACCTCCGAGAGCGAAAAATACCCACTCTTTTCACCCACACCCCTTCAATTAAACTGACCCATCTTGGCTCTCAGCCAAACTGCTCTCGCTAGTGTGGTTAAGTCAGTACGAATTTTCATCCTAAATTCGGTATTTACGGAAAATTTCTTATGCTTGATGTCATACGTATTTGATTTAAGATGATCCAACTGTTGACCACATCTTGAAATGCAATTTTGGATACAAGAGTGTCAGATTCTTTCAATATGATCTTCAGGTGTTGACGTGTATACAATAAAATACCATGCACGTAATCTTTCTGACTCACTGAATATAAATTCTTTTTCAGTTCATTTCACAAAATACAGATTTCAGTCAGGAACCTGAAATTCCACCACTCATTCTCAGAGAGCCTTTATAATCAAATTAGAATGGATTTAAAAGTCTAAGACAAAAGAATGAAACAAAAAGAAAACGAAAAACACTTTATTTTGGTAAATGGGGAAAAAAAAAATCCTTCAAGGTCGTATCATTTATCAAAGTCTCCCAGTGCTTCTTAACCAACTGCATTCTATTTCTCAACATATATTAACTCATATTCTGATAAATTTGCTTCATCTATGGATTAATTACACTTATAACCATTCCGCCAAATAGTTGAAAGGCGGAACGCTAGTAGTTCATCATACTTGGATTCACAGCATCTGCACAGAAATTTTCTGTATATAAATGATATACAAGCCATTTTACTCACACAAAGAAAAAAGACATATGAAAACATCTCTACTCATAGGAAGATTTCTCTTTAGTCTTTGTTTTAACTCACTAATCTACCAAGTAGAAATAATTCCTGTTAATACTTTTGCTATGAGAAAGAAGTCGTATGTAGTCAAATCAAGGAACCTTTATAATACAGTAGACTCCTGATTATCCGCGCCTACCGCACAAAGTTTTTTTTTTTTTTTTTTTTTTTTTTAAACAAGCGTAAAGCAAAGAAAATAAAAATGTTCACTAAACTGTGCGGAACGTTACATTTACTAACATCGTGCTTATTTATAGCAAAAATATTCCAGGCCTTCTCGGAACCTTCCCATCTGATGAGTAATTGATTTCTTACTCACCCTTGCAGTGTCTGCTCCACCGCCCTCTCTCGTCTTAATCATGGAATTCGAGAAATTGGACTTCATGGGGAGAAACTTAGTGGTTACCAAGAAGCAGCCGACGATTTCCACCATGAATTTGAAGAATTTGTTTTAAAAGAAGAGCTATCTTTTGAACAAATTTACAATTCTGACGAATCGGGACTTTTGTGGAAATGTTTTCCCACTCGCACTTTAACATTTGAAAGTGAAAGTAAAGCGGCGGGTCATAAAAGCAGCAAGAAAAGGATCACTATCATGCCTTGCAGTAACGTTACCGGTAGACATAAACTTAGACTTGTCATTGGAAAGTAAAAAAAACGAGATCTTTCAAATACACAAGGATAGAAAATTTGCCCGTTGATTACTTTAACTGAAAAAAAAAAGGGGGGGGGATGGATTAACCGAAACATTTTTCAAGAATGGTTCGAAAAAAATCTTTGTTCTTCAAGAGCGTAAACATCTTAAATCGAAAAACCTGCCTGAAAAAGCTGTGCTATTGATCGACAACGCACCCAGCAACAAGCGTGCTAAAATCTTCTGATGGACAAATTTTTGCAAAGTTTCTCTCCCCAAACGTTACTGCGCTAATCCAACCCATGGACCAAGGGGTCATTGCAACAATGAAGAGAACATACCGAACCAAGCTGCTAATGACCAAAATTGAAGAAGGTTATGATCTGAAAGAGTTTTGGAAACACTACACAAACTTGGACAGCATCTACGATATTGCATCTGCATGGGACTCAGTGAAACTGTCAACCCTCATAAAATCATGGAGAAAACTCATGCCTAATGTTGAAGCCAACAGCAACCTAACCCCTTTGAATTGTGAAGAAGTGAATGAAGATGTAGACACGCCCACGGCGACTCTTGCCGATATGGTGTAAACAGTTCCGAGTGGTGAGAACGTCGATGCTGAAAACATTAACGTGACTGGAGTGTGACGTCAACGAACCTGGCTTCGAACGCTTGACAGATGACGAAATTTTGAAGAAAGCAAGAGGAGAGACCGAGAATGAAGGACAGCGAAGTGAAGGCGAAGAAGAGCCCACTGTGCAGATGCGGAAGACTCACGAAGCGGCTTTGCAACAAGTCGACGGACTGCTGAGCTGTTTGGAAGAACAAGACGACGCGGAGTTCGCCGAGAAACTTATGCTACGAAAAATGCAATCTCGGATCAAGAGAAAATGCTTCCAAAGCAAGAAGCAAACACTCTGACTGATTTCTCCAAAAAGGTGTAGTTTAACAGTTATGCTTTTGTAATTACATAATACATTACAGTATTAAAACAGTACATATGTATTAATTTTTCTGTGTATCTTTGACGCCTCTTGTAAGCGGCTTTTCTGTTTTCATTAACAAAATGCATTTTAGGTTGAGTGATATACTAAAATATTATGCGTTAGTTAAACATTTCCTGCTGTTTATTTTACGTTTTATTGCACATAAAACGATTTTTCAAAGTTGGAATGACTGTTTTCTCTTTTGCAATACCCATTTTTAATTTTTTTCGGGTTATCCGCGATTTTTGTTATCCACGGCGGCCGCGCCACCCAATTCCGTGGATAATCGGGAGTGTACTGTATCTAACTCTCACGTGCTATAAAATCTAACACAGAAGTTTAGTAGCCGATTAGTTATCAACTAGTGCTTAATTTTTGCCAATGCACCAGCCATGATATCTACAAAAATATTATCAAAACACGCAAAGCAACTTTTGATTTAAATTTTTATACAGTTTTTATGTCATTTATATATATGAGTAAACATTTCTTCTCTCAGAAGACATGATTGATTGAAGACTTAGATTTAACATTGCAAAGATGCAGTTTAATGTCAGTATCCAACTATTAAGCTGGAGAATGAAAACAAACCACAAATTCCTACACCTTTCTTTAGATTTTATGTATTTGGTTTTTCAAATGGCGGGCACTTGCCTATAACGGCATTGGCTACTCCAAAGTGGTAATTTTATTGTGGAGGCACCTAAATAGGCGGCCACCGTTACCTCCTATGAAGGAAGAGACAATTTTACATCCACGCCTTCTCCGGGATTCGAAACTGGACCCTTCGTTATCGCAGTTAGGCTTCCCTAATCACTACATCGTCTGGGCGGCGAATTTTACGTAATAAATATCTCCCTGTTCTCCTTTTCATTTAAGACAAATGATTGACGATGAATTAAAAAGCGTGCTGGGCATACTTTTTCTCGATGAAGATAAATTAGCATTAGATTATATATTCAAACACAAGAGCTTTTGATTTAAAGTAAATGCTAAGTTTGTAGAATGATTCGGTTTACTGCAGAGGAGAAAACATGGAAATCTTAGCCATGCCATCGCCGAAGTTTAATTTCCAAACCTCTTTATGCTAGCCGGACGTGCTTCCAATTATAGCACAAAGGCACACGATAAGGACGGAGAAAATTACTTACTATTTCTTAGACACAACTAAAAGGTTCAAGTTAAATTTATCAAATCTTAGACGTGTTTAAAGTACTTCTCTCCAACATAAATGCATTTTTGTAGGCGAATTTTTCAATGATTAATAGCTTTGAACCATTCATTCTTGGAATCAATTAAAAATATGCTTTTATAGCCTCATCAGTTTGAACTTCGAAATAAAAAAGCAGGGCACTTTAGATTAAAAATGTAGCTAAAAGTTAAGTACAGCAAGATTTGGAGAACAGAGTGGATGTTCTATGACTTTAAAGTGTTTTTGTTGAACAAATCCCAAGCGAATCTTGCTGAATGAGAAGATAAATTATGAGTCCCCTAATTTTCACTTCTTAAAGAATTTTTGGAAGATACTGGTGACCAGTTAGCTGTAACTTTCTTCTGTCTCTCTAATCTGATGGCTTGTATTTTTTAAAAATGTAGCATACAGAAGACATCGCTTAATGTGATCGCGGTTAATGTTATTTGGGGTCGTCTTCAAAGAGCCATATTTTACTCTGATTAGTATTTTTAGAACGGTCAACACATTTTCTAAAATTAAAGCTGACAAATGCTTTTCAGTGTCTTCATCCAGAAGAGAATTTTGACACTTCCCAAATTCTGTAAACCATCTGAATACAGTGGCAGTACTTTTATAGCACGATCATGCTATCACGTCAGCACTATTTTTTTTTTTTTTTTTTCAAAATTTATCCTATGATCGAAAAATTGCAATCGTTGCCACAAATTATCGTCTGCGGTCATTTAGACATCTAACAAATAATTTTCTTTTAGTGCCTATTGCTGGCCATTGTCTGAAAAGTTTTAGAGTTACTTGTGCATCTTTCAGTATTTCTTCCTTTTGATAGTATCACAATTTCGTAAAACTATTTTACTTACTTTTACTTTGCACAGGATATGAAAGACGCATTGCTGAACTACAAAGATTGCAATGTTATCATCGTCGATTGGAGCAAATCGAACGGAATTCCTTTTGCGCTGGCTGTAGCCAACACAAGAGTAGTTGGTGCTGAAATTGCTCTGTTGATCAACTTTTTGCAGGTAAATATATTTTAGATTCTATTAGCAAACTATTGATAAAGTTATCTTATTCTTTTGACATGGATAAATTTCCAAGAGTATTAATATTTAGAAACATTTCTCTAAGGTACTTGGAAACTTCTAATTTACAGAATAAACGCCGAAACATATGCATTGCTATTTTTCCAGTTTATCATAATTTCAGTTGGTTTCAATACTTTATTTTACTTTTCATTAGTATTTTTCTCACATGCTCATGCGCTAAAATTTAAATGAAATTTAGCAACTCGATTAGTAGTGCATAATACATATAATAATATTAAAATTTAAACTTTTATAGCATAGTAATTCTGGAGTGTTCTTAAAGTCTGTTTCACATTTCAGTGCATAGAGAAGAAACGATGTTGACATACTATTTGTCGTTAATTTACTGGGGAGGGGAGACATAACTGTCTTTGGATTTTAGTGTTTGTTATGCTGACGATATCTTCATACATTTTCACTGCAAGAAAAGTGAATTTAGTAAATATTTTAATAATTATGAATTCTAATGATCCATCCATTCAGTTCGTTTTAATTCAATCTCTCTAAACCTTTCCATGATATTCTTACAATGATTCTTATAATAAGCAAAGAATTTAATGTCATATGTGCATTCATTGTTCATAGGAGATTTTTTTTCTTTCTCTTTCTCTTTCCATGATAAACCTCTTAGTATGCTAAATAAAAATCTAATATAGACACCACATAACTTATTGTAGGTGTATTAAATTATATAAATTATATTATATAATTTAATACATCTATTAAATTATATAAAATATAAATTATTGTAGGTGTATTAAATTATACACACCATTTGATGCACTTCTTTCAAATTATTTCTTCGAATTGTTCTAACTTAATTAACCGATTCCTCAAGGCAAGATGAAAATGACATAAAAAATGCAAATTTTGAAATTAAATATTTTGGTCAATTTTTTCCGTACGGGAGTTAAACTTCTTAGAACTTTATTTTTTCGCAACGAATATAAAACTTTTTCAGATATAACTATAGGGATCGGGAGACCGCATTAAAAGTTAAATTTTGTTATTTGTAAAAAATTATTATTATTTATTTTATTTGCCATTCCCAAAGCATGAATATTTGCGTCATTTAAAACACTTCTGTAATTGGATTTATGTGACTACACCTAACGATTACAAAAATAAAGGCTGGGTAAGAATTTTCAAGTCGGGTAAGGGGGTGGGCATACTCGTTTGGTTCTGCCGACTGCAATGAAAAAGAGAGGTGCACAATTAGATGTTATGGCAGTCCCGTAAACAAAATTTCAGAGTTCTAATTCTAATTCAGTTATGCGAGATAAATACATACATACATACGTACGTACGGACAACCGTAGCAAAATATCCCTTTTGAATCCATTTTACAATCAGTTTTGGAAAAAACACTCCTTTATTCTGTCCGTACGTGCAAAAGTCAAGGTAAAAAAATTTTACAAATCGATTCGGGAACGGTCAAAATGGATATTTTCGTTAAAATACAATGCTCGAAATTTTTTGCGCTTATTATACTTCCTTTACTTCGTACAAGGAACTAAAAAATGGCTTCTATTTACTCTCATTTTTCTATTCTTCGCAATCTTTTCTTTCTCAGAAATACAATTATTTGAAAACTACTGCTGTCTGGAAGGCGCTTTTTCCTTATGTTATTGAATAAATGTTTAAAAATTTTCAACTCAGCATTATAAAAATACTTTGCTATTCAAAATAATAATGATAATTTTGTTGTCATTTTATTTTTTCTGTCTATTATTTACAAAAAAAAAAAAAAAAAAAAAAAAAATTCAATTATTTTTCTCTACAATTATTAATAAAGTCTCTTGTTTGGCTCTCAAGGATCCTGTATCTGGTTTCTAATTCTTAATGATTAAGCCTGTTAGCGACCGATGAATACTGGTTATTCGCCTTGGGTTCTATTTCTTTCGAACGAGCTGGTTGAATGGACGTTTTCGTTCATTTTCCCTATGTGTAACGTGAATACGAGGCAATATGTTTTAAACAATTCTCCACCAAAGCATCTCTCCCCTTAGATAGATAGCGTGACGCACTTTTCTTTAAACTAATAGGCCAAACCAAACCAGTTCTTGGGAAATTTATTGCTTATCAGCGCGGTTTAGAATTCAACGGCTTAAACAGAACATATTATATAATTCATATATTAAAAAGCATGAGAAATGACAGAAAAGGTGATATAAATAAGCCAGAAAAGAAGGATAGAAGAAAATCATACATAGCTTTGATGTCTAGTCCAAACAACCTTATCGTTTAACAGATTTACAGTCCAATCAATCTTATCGTTTAACAGATTTACAGTATAACTTTATATCTACAGAGATGCCAAAAAATTATGCAACTGATTTTATTGTAATATTCATTTTATTATGGTGACATGAAGCCTAATCCGCGCTATAAACGAGGTAAAAGAAACAAAAGCAAAAGAAAATTCTCCACCGAAGCATCTCTAACAAAATTAAAATTTTTCTGCAAAAGAAAAATTTTAATTAATTTTGTTTTATGATTTTCAGGTCAAATAAATGCATAAATGAGTCATTTAATCTTCGATCAAGGAAACGAAGCATTCTAAACCTATTATACTTGATTGAAACAGAAATGAGGTTTTACGCAAAACAGGTTTTATCCAGAAACTTTTACAATTATTTTTCAGGACTCTTTCGGAGTGAAACCAGAATCCTGTCATATCATTGGTCACAGCTTAGGAACCGAGATAGCTGGTTATGCCGGCGAAAGAATCAATAATCTGGGTAGAATAACAGGTAAGTGAAACAACACTATGATCAGAGAATCACTGACAGAATTTTACTTTTTGATTCACGGTAGTGTTTATTTCTATTATTTGCAGTGACGCCTGTTTATCCCCGAGCTTCTACATTGCAGTAGAATTTAATACCGATGAGGTCCTAAATAAAAGTTTTGAGGCATGTTTCTGCTCTGACTTAAGAAATTTTGCTATCATGGATAAACATAGTAATAATGATATATAAAATAAACCGAATGTATTAATATATTTATAAATTTTTATTAGTACAATATTTTATATTTTTATGCTTTCTAAACAAGGGCATTGATCCAGTGAGGCTTCTAACCTTTAATAACATATATATAGATGGACACAGGGCCGGCTTTAGCTTATACCTAAAGCCGGCCGTGTGTCCATGTATGTAGTTAAGGATAAAACTACAAAACAAAATACACTAGTAGTAAAAATTGAAGGAAGAACATAGTTACTACAAGTTTCGACCTTCATTATTGTATGAAATTGCGAAGCGCAGTTTTGCATAGCTATAAATCTTCAGCAGGAAGACGGTACATGTTCTGATTTTGGACTTGAGTGACATAGTGCGTATAATATAAAAATGTGAACTGTGAAAAATGTGAAAATGTGAAAGTTTATAGCAAATTTCAGCGATGAGTACGTATGTTGGAAATGTTCAGCGAGTTTCATTTCGTATTACAAACAATGAAATGGTCACTGAGAAAACATTTAGATGATTTCACTCAAGATAGAATGATTGGATGTGGGCGAATTATAGAAATGAAAGTGAAGAATTTTATTACATTTCCCTTAGCGTTGTATCATTGGAGTAAAAAGAGTCCAAATTAATGTTCTGTATAAAGACTTCCGAACTAAAATGTGGCGGATGGTTATTCACTATTACTTTGGTTGGGTTTTATTTGCTGGAGGGGGGGGGAGACACGGGGATTTAGACTCCTTTTAAAAGGCGGGAAATGTAAGAAATAATTGCATTACCCAGTGCAGTCTTGTGGTTTAAATGATTAGTATATCTAGTTAGTAAATTGGAAGATCCATAGTTTGAATCCCGGCGAAGACACTGTGGATTTTTCACGTTTTCCGCTCCGAAAATACTAATGATCTCTTTATCTCCACAGGAAATAGAATCGTCTGTGAAAGCGGGTGATCATCTTAGACAGAGTTCATTATATTCTTATAAATATTTTCGAAATGTTTCGAGACTCAGCCTTGTTTGCTTTTTTTTTCGAAATATTCCAGAATTTTCAAAAGGATCAGAATATATTTTAACATAAATTGTTAACTATGGACAATCTGTTGTGCAACAAATCATATAATGTACCTTAATAAATATTGTTGGAAATTATCCGATTTTCAAGCCTTTAATTCACAGATACAAAGTTTCTGATAAGTTCATTTCTATTGCAGCTCTAGATCCTGCTGGACCTTACTTCAGAAATGTTTCCACAATGGTGAGGCTGGACCCATCAGACGCTCTTTTTGTTGACGCGATCCACACTCATTCCAGCGACGTTGAGGATGACAGTAAGTGTCACGAAAATATTGCTTGAATATAATTGTGCTTACTAGGGAACTGCAATGTTAGCGTCTTAAAGTTTGATGTAAATAATATGTATATTTATAATGTTGCATACTTATGTCTAATATATTCTTATCTGCAGTAATAATTATTATTACACCCAAGCTTATATCTTTTACACGTAATTTCACTTTCAAAGCAATCCTTTACATGTAACTTCATTTCTGAATTACCTGTTTCTTAGAATTCTAATAAGGAAAAATTTTACATCGTATGTTTTGGTTCTTGTTTCTCTAGATCATGATTCCTATAAATGAAACTCAACACTAAAACATACTTTAAGCAATATTTATTTTTCCATTATTTACAAATTTACAACGAGAACAACAACATGATTTTCATATTACGATGGTCTCAAATTACAATGAGATAATAACATCCAGTTTTTAACCTAAGCATCATCTAAAAATCAAATAAATATTTAACTCTTTCACCAACCGCTGGCGAAAGTGATCAGTCTGCAATAATATCATCAAGGCTAAGGAATTACTCTTAGAAATTCCTTAAATCTGCCATAATCTGGGATAAAATATAATTTTATCACTACACGGGAGTGTTCATAAAATTTCTTTAAACACTGATCCCCTATACAAGCTCCTAGTAGCGAAGCTTCCTAAAATAAGGTGCAGAATTTTATTAAAACACTTTCAAACTGTGATCTGGTGATTTTCGGGGGAAAAAACGGAACTTCTTATATGATTGAACTAGTGTAAAAATTCACATCAGTAATTTAATAATTATGTTTTATTCACCGTATATTCCGGCACATAATGCGAACTCTAAAGCAAAAAATAAGATCTAAGTTAACAGGTGCCCATTATATGTCGAATATAAAATTTATATATTTAAAAAAAAAAAAAAAAGCCTACAGAAATTAGATTCCTACATTAACTTGTAAGATTCTAATGTGTGTAATTTTAAGTTACAGTTAAGGTTGAAGAATCTTAAGAACTGGTAAGAGAATAATCGCTTGAGTTCGTGAGACAGTAAATAAAACTTGACAAGAGTTAAAGACCCTTTATTATTCCAAATTAATTTCACAGAACTCCTTCTTGAAGTTTTACAATAAAGCCGACACTCGGGCTTGAACTCAGAAAACTAAGAACTAAACTAATCTTAAGTAAAACGATATAGCCGAAGCTATCAAGATTCTAACAGATTTGGCCCCTCAACGCTAAATAAACTCGAAGCTATCAAGAACGTAAAGTACGGCCGAGCGTAATAATAGCTTAAGAGAGAGTAGCCTAAAAAGGCGGACGCGCGCTAATCAGAATCACCGCTTCTCTCTAACGAAGTCAGTAGAATTTCACAATTAAATACTTCTTCTCATTTTCACTCAAACGCGATTTTAAAAATACGTTTTGGCAGGAAGTTTTGAACTTGAAATTAAGAAAGTATAGGAAAGTAACTTTAAATTTAACTGTTAAATAAATTAAGATAATCCTTACAAACTAAATATTGTTTATTTAAAAGAAACGACACATCTTATAAATTTAAAACTTTCATTATCGCATAGTTTCCTTTACATAAAGCATATTAATTATTGAGTTTTCTTTTTTCTTTCAATCACATACGGAGCTTTCGCCAACACCAAATATCCTTGCTGCAGCACGATTTCCCTTTTCTTTCGCAAATTCAATGACTTTTGACATTTGAAACCAGCACTGAGTTTGTTTCGTTTGGCAGGAACCATATTTACTGCTAAAAGGAACACTAGATCACTTGTATTTCAAAAAGCAAGGGGGATTTACTAAAGCCTTCGATGTTCCATTTAGAATCACGTCTTCAAATGACTGTAGAAAGAGAAAACATCTGGCTTCTAATTCCGCGAGTTCGAATCCCTCGAGCAGGTTGGCAGGTCAAGTGTAACGTGAGCACATGAGCCAGTTTCCCTTAGAAAATCCTCCACGAAAGTATCCCTCCCTTTAGGCACATAGCCGTCGAGTGCTTGGCCGTAATCAAATAAACCAAACCAAACCTAATTCCATGAATTCATTCGGGTTGGAAGTGCATTCTTACCCCAAATTATGTCCCCCTTTTACTAAAACCCTAGAATAACATTCTTGAGCATACATGCAGTAAATACGCCCCCTCTCTGCGCAGAATAATTTGCTTCCTCAAGCATTTTCTCCACACAGATATTATTCCTCTTATCTCTTATCAATTCAGTATACCATAGTCGAAAGCCTGGGGAAAATCTTCGATTTAAATGACTTCCAAAAATAAGAGCATCGCACCTTCAGGTTTCTTCGTAAAGAAAAGGTTGCGTGTTATACTGCGAATATACCTAAAAATTAAAAGAAGTAGTTTGAAATTATAAGTTTGCGTTGTATACCGGAATACGCGGTAATTAAAAACTAAACGCCTCTCATTTTTATGTATAAATTCGCGCAAATGCGGTTAGTAAACTATTTACCAAACTAAAAGAGTGACCTAGAATTCAGTGATGAATGCTATTAATTTAATTATCAATCTCGTTTCTGTGCTGAAATTAATAATCGCTAAAACGAGCAATTTCTAGGTGTGTTCCTTGATTTGGTTTTCAAACTCGGTTACAGAAACTAAAGTGACCTAACTCAGCAAATTCATCTTCAATACCTTTGAGAATTTTGATTTTAAAAAGTAAAAAGCTTTTTTTTAAACCCCTAAATGGCGTTAGTCCAAATGGGATATTAGCCTCGAAACAGGATTTTGCATCGTCCACTATAAAAGCCCGTATCATATTTCAGATTGCTACCACCAATTATTATCAACCTGTATTATTTTTAAAGTTGTTAAATCATGAAGAATCTGAATGTATGTGTGTATGTTCCTCGCACTATAAAAAAGCGACAGTACTTACAACCATCAAATTTTGAATAACGTACGCCTCCACCCTATAGAAAAATAACAACAAGAGAATAAATAAGCAGAAGTCCTATAGCAAAAGAATTATTTTATCATTTTTGTTAATGTTTTTTAAGATAATAAAGAATTTATCGGAATATTTAATTTTTGAATACTATTGTTCCATAAAAGCAAATTATAGGATTATTTTACTATTAACCTTAAGCTTTACTTAATTACAAAATTATAAAGAGTGTAATCTTGAGTTTCGATTTGTTTGAAACGCATTATTCTTTTAAGTAAATTTCTCAATAATATCGCCTTTAGTTTTTCATCTGATATTTCTGCTGCAAAAGGAGAGCGAAAACCCTTGTCAAAATATTTTTTTAAAACATTTTATTTACATTCTAAATCGCTTTTATTAGAATTAAGTGATATTTTTATGAATCTAGAGCTGATATTAACAAAATGAAACTCTGATAATGAATTTGAAAATCGAAGTGTGTACTCTAAAAAAAGAAACACACAGTCCATTTAGTCAGGTGTAGAACTTCTAAAGGATTTTTTTTTTTTAGTTATATAAATAAAATTCTCAGTTTGTATTTTTGCTGTATATTGCATTACAGATAAAATTCAAATTGATCATTTTAAGGGTGAATTAGTTATATAATACAATGATTTACAAACAGAGATGGCAGAAACGGTAGTTATTTCTTTTGCTATGAAAGACTTTTTCTTGGTTTTCAGTCCGAAACTAGGGAGAAAGAGTAGATTAAACATATTAAGTGTTGACAATTGGAGGCAGATTATTTCAAAATAAAATGAATTAGTAGCTTCGCGATAAATAAGGAAAAGTATTTTGTGTCGAGCCTTCCTGAATGACAAACACTAGACATTTAAATTTAAAAATTTGGAGAAAAAACTGTTGTAAAACCCTGCAATAAATTCTAAAATAATTCAAAAGATGTATCATAAATTGTTTCATAGCTAAAACAATGTAATGTACTGGGCATAAATTATTGCACAAATCTATACCAGGTTATGTTTTACGGTATCAAAAGGCAAATTTTTGAAGATAAAAATTTAAATAAAGAAGTAAAATTTTGCAGTCTCATCATTCACATTCCACTCTTACAATTAAAAGGAAATATTTTTAATAACCTTTCACACTATGAATCTTCAGTTTCTACTTTTATTATTATTTTTTTCCACATCCCATTACATAGAAGGCCTAACGTAACTGTATATACTTTTGTAAGTATTGTAATTTATGGTATCTACTGTCATCATTTGCTTTGCAAAAATGCGGCGTCGAAGGGCAAATCGTCTTTGCTTATACAATGTTTTCGTTTGGCAGTTTTAGACAGGCTTTTATTAGAACAGAAATTATAACTGGCACAAGCTAAAGAGAATAACGAAGTTTATAAAGCAGTGCCTATGACCTTTGCCATTATTTTTTCCTGAGCAGCCATATCAGCGGGGCAATGGATTGCTTCCGTTTTCTTTCGCAATTGCTCAAAACTAAAAGAGTTGGAGAGGCGTGAATTAAATCAAAATTGCTAGAATTGATTTCATCAAAAGTAATATGTAAAAAGAATTTGGGTAAGCCTTAACTAAGCTTAATCCCACTTTCAAATGTAATATTAGGTTTACTGAATTTTGTGATATGCATTATTATTTTTTACGATAACGACCTCATTATTTCTTCATTTTTTCAATGCACAGAGCCCAGTCGTTTCCAACCGACAGGTCACATTGATTTCTATCCTAATGGAGGACAAAGCCAGCCGGGATATCCAACTTCATTTGTGGACACTTTTCTGAAAAAAGGTGTTCTAGCAGGTGACGTATTTTGCCCCATCTCTCCTCACTGCAATATGAATTCCTTAAAATATAGAATACATATTAATATTTTTATTTTAAATAAATTCGCTGGCTTCATACAGGGTGTTTACAAAAGGTATCTAAGGGAAGTGTTATGTAAAGAAAAGTGTTATGTAAAATGCATTTCTCCCAGTTATATCGAATAAAAGATATCGTGTTATTTAAGCACAGTTTAGAAAGCTGCAGTGGAAAAATATCAGTCGAAAAGATAAAAAAAGTACATGACAATCGCTCCAGTTCTTCATCTAATCATATCCCTTCTTCGTCTAGAGCATTTTCAATAAAGTTTTATCAGCCATTCAAGGGCAGAAAATATAAGCCAAGGTAGAATCTCTATTTATCTACACCGATCAATATGTTTCAGCTGATTATGAAAAGTGGTTGATAGCTACGAAGAAAAATTACTCATTAACAGCATATTGATAAGCAGAAATAAAAGTGTCAGAAGGAAAGTGTGGTTTTACTTAGATTTAATGTAATAAAACATAAATAAAATTACTGCAAACACGAATTTTTTTTTCGGTCATTGCTACTGTGAGCACATATATGTAAGCACGATTCGGACGCATGTTTTTACCATAAAATAATCGGGTTTTTTTAAACCTCCAACTACCTTTTAACAGTTTAAACAAATACAAATTAGAGAACAAGAAGAACAACTTTTTTTAATATTATTTTTAAGATCTGAAAAAAAAAATTGAATTGCCACTTCACAAAAGACAAATAAATTTTAGAAACAATTCATGAGGGGCTCTACACCCCCCCTCCCAGTGAAAGGACTAGGAGGCATAATCTTTTAAATGAAGTGGAAACCTGACAGCTCTTCCACTGCATGTAGTAGCGTAGGGATAGTTCGTAGGCGAGATTCCTCCTGAGATTTGCATTGGGGAGGTGAGCCTGCATCATCCTTGGACATGAAAGTTTCGAATGACTGCCCTGTGATGTCATTTAGAACAAAACATAGTTTTATCCGTCAGTTGATATTCTTTGTTTGATTAATTTCTATATTGAAACATTTTGGTGCTCGATGTTTGATAACATAAGGACAAGATCAACTGGTTGTAAAGATGAAGTAGTCGCGTTGTTGAACAAGAAAACATACGAGCAACTTAAAAGTTGCTTTGAAATTAAGTCGGCTTTATTGCCATGAACGGTCGTCGCAGAAAGTCAATACACGTATAATACTTTGTAGCCTCTGAACAAGATCTGAATGCGTGACATTAGAAATCTTCATAGCAAACTCTCCAAGTAAACAGAAGGGACTTTCATAAAATAGCTGAGCTGAAGAGTATCCTATATCTTCTTTTACAGCAGTGCACAGTCCAAGAGCAAATAGCAAATCGGCTACTCAAAATTTTTTTTTCTTTTCTTCTGCTGTAAATGGCACTTCAAGCTGGCTTTTGTAGTTCTATGCTGCCGCTCATTTAACACATTCGACTGCAGATGGTATACAGTAATCTTGGTAGTCTGACAAAATATTTGCTCAAAGATTAGAAAAGTTGACTTTCAAACTGTCGTCTTTGGTCAGAAGTAAATGATAATACGTTCAGAAAGACATATCCGGGTTGAAATTATGCATTTTGCAACTGTTTCTGTCGATCTGCTATAGAAAGTGCTTTAATCTATCTTGAAAACGTCAATCATCATTAGCAAATATTTGAAGTCTTGGCATGTAGGTAAGGGTCCAACAATATCAATGCGAATGTATTGAAAACGTTCGGATGAAACTTTAAAATCCATTAGAGCTAAATGCTCTAATGTCTAAGTCTTTGAACTTTATATCGTTGGCTTTCCAGACTTGCCCGACACCATAATTAATAATCTTTATTAATATTTGACCCAATGAAACTTTGAGCAGTTAGTTTTCTGGTGCTTCTAATTCCTGGATGTGATAGAGTATGAATAGATGAAAATATCTGTCGACGAAACTTTGAGAGAACATATGAGCGGTTACTGTTGATAGAAACATCATAACAGATTAATTTCTTGGCGCTAAGAATGAGAGTTTGAACCATTTTCAACCTTGGGTCATTTTTTAATATTGTTAAATCTTCATCATCTTGAATTTCGACTATAGTTGTATACTTATTTGGAGATGGTGTAGAAATGGTATTATTCCTAACAGGAACATTGGCTACAACACTTTTTCTCCAGTGGTGTATCGAATGGTCGTTGAAAATGAAACTATATAACTCAGTTGGCTTGCTTATTTGGGGAAGATTTTGTCTAAATTTTGTTGAAAAGCTAAACTGATAGGCTTATGGTCAGTGTAAATGATGAAAGATCTTCCTTCTAATTTGTACCTAAAATGCTTTATTGCAGAGGATATGGACAAATGTTCCCGGTCATACATACTGTATCTGAGCATCGGTTAAAGAATATGAGACGAAAATTAATGGACGCATCTCTTCATGTTCAATTTGATGTAAGACAGCCCCTTTGTCAGTATCAGAAGCATCGCATAACAGACATAATGTATCATTATTTGAGGAATGGTCAAGCATAGTAGTAGAACAAAGAGCATTTTTGAGGTTTCTGAATGCGTTAGTAGAATCTTCGGTTCATATCAGAGGTATTTTGCTGTTTTTGCTATTTCGACTAAGTAATGAGGTTAGAGGCAGTTGAAGTTTGGCGCAATTCGGAAGGAAACGGTGATGAAAATTAATCATTTCTAAGAACTTGCACAAGTTAGTCGCTGACGTAGGTTCATGTGCACATTGTATGGCAGCAATGTTCGTCGGAAGAGGTCTAAATTCTTCACTAGAAATTTCATAACCCAAATATTTAAGTTTAGAAGCACAAAAAACATTTTCTGCAATACTGATACATAAATCTTAATCATTTGAACTTTTAAAAATTATGTATAAGAGCTCAAGCTGTGACTTGAGCTCTTATACATAATTCTCTGTTCATCAGAAGGAGCAACCAACATGTCGTCTAAATAGCAAAATATAATCCTGATAACACCATATTCCTGTATCATTGAATTGTCTGTGCCGTGTTGCATGAAACAAACGTCATGAAAGAAAATTCAAACAGGCCAAAAGGAGTTATAATGGCCGTTTTTTGAATGTCAGCTTCTTGGAATTTGCTTATAAGCTCGAACTAAACTTATGGAGGAAACGTTTTTTCTCCGTGAAGAAACAGTGAGTGAGAAATGATAAAGGATAGTGATCTGGGATGGTAATAGTGTTAAGGGCCCTGTAATCTCAATATGGTCTCCAGTCAGCTAATTTCTTTAAGGTGAGATGTAGAGGACTGTCCCAACAACTTTTCGAAGGTTTACAGAGACCTTGTTGTAACAAGAAATCGAATTCCGGTTTTTCCGCTTTTGATTTTTCGGACGACAGTCTTGTAGCCCTAGTGGTAACAGGAGCTCCTTTGGTTTCTACAAAATATTCACAGTTTTGTTTCTTAATTTTATTATTGGCAAGTGCTGGACGTAATAGATCAGGAAATTGTTTATGAATAGCTGTATACTGATTTTGTACTATTTTTAATGTTGTATAAACACGATAACAGGGGATTCCAATAGAGGATAAGGAAGTGATGCCATCAATAAATTTGCGATTTTTATTGTCAATCAAAAGGTGAAAATGAGACAGAAAGTCAATAAAGATTATTTGGTTTATTGAAAGCTGCAGCCACAAAAGGTCAATCAAATGCTGTCCGCAGTTCCAAATCTAATTTTAGCAACTTTATCTATAAGTTTTAATGTTGGTTTCATCGGCAGCAAAGAGTTCCAGTTTGGCCACTAATCTTTTTTGTTGCGGTAATGGTGGAATTAAAAATTCAGCGGCAATCTCTTTATCACGAATAAAAAAAGACACAGCTCCATCCCTTGGCTCTTTGACGTCTGCGAGAGCCGGGGATTTAGGTTTTTGAGGTTGAAGGTCGGTCTTCTTGGGCCATTTGCAAAATTCAGCGCATTTGGAAGCTTTGTCTCTGAACCTGGAATGATAATAGAATGATCTAATTTGTAATTAAATTGAAACATTGTCATCACTGGAACATGCAACATCAGCATTCTGATATGATGTTGATTTCATTTCTCACATTTCATCTGGTGTTGTCGCCAAGTTTGATAAATCATCACCATTGATTGATAAAATGCTCGTCATTTCTAATGGTGAGCTTTGAAGCCAAAACGTTTTTAGAAATTTAAGAAAAGGTTCACTCTCTTTACCTGTAAGCAAATTCTTCACTTTTCATAACAGCTGGGAAGGTTTATCTTATCACTTAATTCTACTTCAGTTTATACCTTCTGAGTCTTTTGGGTTTTACTGTCTGCGAAGCTAGAAATTAGCCTGTGTTTATATGTAATGTATTTGTCGTCTTTTGATGGATTAATCAAAATATCCGACAAATCAAAATACCATATTATAGCACAATATTGCAGCTTCATTGGAGCTGATGACGAAACCATATTTCGTTTGATCTGCTGTTATTACGGCATTTCGGAATTCTGCCTCAAATTGCAGAAACCATATTTTTAGATTCGGTTTCCAAAACGGTGGAATTTTAATGCTAACCCTAGTGACGTTCGATGTCGAAGCATCACTTTTATTTTCATCATTGCTTGGAATTTTCGTTTGATTATGGTCCAGTCCGGTTGTCACCAACGGAAAAGAACGTTGATAGGAAGAAAAAGAAAAAAAATGTTTAATCATTTTTAAGATCTGAAAAATAATGGAATTGCCCCTTCACAAAAAATAAGTAGTTTTTGGAAACAATATAGGAGACGTTACATCATATTAGGCAAATTGCTGCGGTGTTTGTGGCAATATCTTTTAATCTATTATAATTCTATTTAACTGTTATGAAAATCATAAAATCTTAAATCAACTAATAAAAACTTATTCTAGAATTCTCTCAAACGCGAGCTAGGAATGTAGTAGCCAGCATATGCACTGAGTTATTTGAAGACCCGACTTTAATTTCATTTGAATGCATTGAGAATTTTTCAACAATGCATTGCTCCCAAAGCTCTCTCTAAAAGTGGCATCATACTGGAAAACAAGTTCCCACATCTCATCGAACGGAACATTTCCAGAAAACTAGATTACTCTGTTTAATCGGGAGCGAGTCAGGCATAAGTCCTGATTGATTGCATTGATGGAAGAGGATTGCTGCTGGTGAGTCTCTGTAGCGCATGCAATTCATGAAGCTGCCTCTGTTTTTCGTAACTCATTTCCCTTTATACAGAAGATAAATCTCTATAACAGTTTACTGTTTTTTCTGCTTCTCCGTTCTTCCTAAAACCATTTGACCTATACAAATCATCAAACAATATCCTATATACCTTCGAGAAAGTAGTTCCCCACTTATTCGAATGTTTGGATATGCTGTGCTCCCACTTTATCTGGATATTTGCTGTTCTACCAGTTTTCCTATACTGAAAGCTTTATTCCGCATACATGTTTAAAAAATATATGCATAAGAAATGAGACAAGGTTATTAGAATAAAAATTCAAAACAATTAGATTAACTAAAATAAAATAGAATCTTAAGACTAATCTTACAGAAGAAACTCTTGCCTTTCAGAGATAATAAATAAAATTTAAGATTTAGTCACCTTTGTAAATTTCAAGAATACAGAGATAAAACAAAAGAATGAACATTTTTCTCTTGATTCTTGCAGTTGCTCGCAACTTCGTGGTATGTGACCATTACCGAGCCATCGATTATTTTATGGCAACCATTCCTAACCATTATGGATGCCAGCCAGTAGGTGTGGTTTGCGATTCTTGGGAAAGGTTCATTGATGGAAAATGCTCCGACTGTGGGGTAGATGGTAGTCAATGTGCTATCATGGGCTTCCAGGCAGATATTAAAAAGGAACTTATCAAAACATACCCACCTAGGAAATTCTTCCTTTTCGTAAGCTCGAAGCCCCCGTACTGTGGTAAGTATTTTGCTACAAATTTAGAACTTCTGTGATATCGATATGAAATTTTGTCTTTTTTATGCAATTCCGGGAAATTCCAAATGTTTATAATTCTTTCATCATTTAACATCCCAATCCAGTATTCTCGTGTTCATTTATCATCCCAATAAATGATGATAGATTGTATTTCTATCACAATTTCAATTTCCTGACTCTTTTAAATTGAAATGAATTATCGGAAGTACACGATAAGAGATACGCGCACAAGTAAACAAAGATCTAAATCAATATGGTTATATTATATTGCATCGAAATGCTGTCGTGTTCCATATCGTTGGTTGCCATATCGTTGGGACCGAGCTCCAATCCCCGAAAAGCTATTAATGTTTGTCGCAATTGCTTGTACTATTCACTAGTAGAAGCCTGACTGTTGTCAATCAGCATTGTTGTTGTGGGTGCACTTTCAATTTATTGCTCTGGATTTTTCATAAACGATACTAGTTTTCTCTAAATAATTTCTTTTTCTTTGCGTTATAAATTGCACGACAGGTATATAAAACATCATTTGTCATTTTTTCCGACAGTTGTAAATCTCTCAAAGTTTGAATCTATGACTTTTCACATTAGCAAGTTGATTTAGCATTGTAAAAAATTCAGGTAAACCCTTTGTAGTAACTTATTTTTCTGGTTCAATTTCTTTCTCTGTTTCTCTTCTTTCTTGTTCTAATTCACTCAACTACTTATTGGTCACACTCTTAGTGTACAACAACTCAAATTCTCTAATTTCACATTGAAAGAAAAGATATTTAGCAATTGTAAGAATATTTTCAAGCATTATTTAGAGATAGTTTTCACTGTCGAAACATTCGAATTTATTTATAGACACACTTTTCCTAAATGCCATTTTACTAAGCAGTAGCAAGATGTTTAATGCAGTTCAAAATGTCATATTGTTTCCAGAAAATCACGCAATTAAAGTTTAGAGTCTATCAATTGTTGCGCTAGCCTGAGCAAATATAACAACACATGGGTAATTTGCCGTGAATATAGCAGTATCACCTTGATCCATAGGCTAGATCAACGGTGCTGTATGTGGGAGGCAAGAAAATAATATTCAGATCAGGATTTAAAACTGCTAAATCAGAAGGATGGCCGGGCTCATCATCCAAGAGAAATAAAATTTTAAAAAGAACTCTTTTCTCCCGGAAATATTCTCATGTTTGTCGAATGAAACAATTTAAAAACCAGTCTTCTATGCTTCGGCACTGGAGAGAAAATAAATTGGGGCTGTGTATGCTTGTTAACTTTTCTAAATGCCTTTTCGAATCATAAATTAAAATGGCTTTAATTTAAAACCTGAAACACTGCAACCAAGAAGAACAATTAATCGATCCTCATAAACTTAAATTCTGCCATACATTTTTCTTCTTTATGAATATAGATTCCAGAGTGCATGCGGCTCCATACCAAGCCCAGTTTCTTCAACTCTGAAATTATTTTCGATTTCGTAGTCATCATCAATGATTTCACTAGCAAGTTCTACAAAATTACATGCTTCTTCTGTATCTAAACTCTCCTGTCACATGAATATATTGCAGATGAAATCTTCGCTTGAATCGTTTGAACTAACCTGCGTTAGCTGTAAAATTTTGTCTATGATCATCATCAGTAAGATCTTTTAACGTTTTTTAAGAAGTCACATGCTTTTGTTTAAAAGGAAATCAGTAAAAAAACACTTGATTTTGTAGTAGGTCATCTACGTTTTTCATTTTTCCATTTCATGAATTGGTCCAGCTCTTTAGATATTTCACAGCACTGCAAATTCTTTGTCCTTTAAAATTTTTGACACTAGAGAATGAGCTACTTTAAATTGCATTGCAACCACAAACTTTTTTCCGACCTCCGTATTGCTTAATCTTTTTCAGCTTCGTGTAAATTAATCATCTTTCTCTCTATTTTATCTTGTTGACTGTCAGGAGATATCGATTTTCTCTTTCGAACCATTTTATAGATTAACTAATTACAGATCTATATAAACACAAAGAAGAAGGTTTGCCGCGAAAACTGATGCATTTACACTGACTGAATAGACAGGTGGGGGACAACAGCTGTGAAAAATGCGTCATATTGCCTAATCTAAAAAAGAGCTAAATTCAAGTCTCTTTACTTCGACACTTAATTTTATTCATTTTTTTTCTATCCCTCTCTTTTAATTATTATTATTCATTGAGTAAGAATTGTTGGCAAAATGTGTTGTTACAAAAATATACATAATGATTTGGATCGGTCTTACGTAAGTCGAGTAGGTTCAAAGGTAATTTCTCCCTCCTTTCAGCCTGCCTTCGTGGTGTAACTAGAAGTACCCCCGACATGTAATCAGGATTTCTGAAGTTCGAATCCCTCCTAAGGTTGAAAATATACTAAATGATCTACAAGTGGCGCTCGAACTGAAAGGCAGTGGACGATAATTCGTCGGCATAAGGATTTGGCGACTGGGTCCGCTAATCCTCAGTCGTCCTTTAAGAGCGAGGTATTTTCTCCCTCAATTCCGCATGCCTTCGTGGTGTAATTGAAAGCACACTCGATGAGTATTCGGGACATCTGGGTTGGAATTCCGGCGACGGCACTGCGGATTTTTCACGTTCCTGCATCGATATAGCCTAACGACAAGGTCATATGTCGACGTGCACCTGCACAGTCCATCTGGATATGAAAAGAATGTAGATTATTAATTGGGGTTGACTTTTGGTACATCACTCAACTCACTATAATTATAATGCAAGTGACTGACTTTTGTTTCTTTGTTTGTCGTATTTTACTTCGAAGATTAGATAAAGAAAAATCTAACTTCTATATGAAACAAATACTTTTACTAAAAAATTATACAATTAAATTAATTTTATGTGTCTAAGCATAAAATCTGTCTCCATTCAATTAAAATTAAAGTAATGAATTAATTTTCTACATTATTAATACTAGCTTTAAATGTAAACACAGCGTTTTGTTTTTATATTTACTGCGTAGAATGGAAGAAGTAAATTATTTTTCGGAGAAAAATAACCTACTTATCTTCAATTAAAATTTAACTAAACCATTATCTTTTAAATTTTCATAAAACAATAAACTTACTGGCTAAATATATTCTCAAGTGAACACAAAATGTAGGCCTATTTTCATTAAATAATTATTATGCCCTTTATGAACAGAGGTTACGTATTTGACTAATATTGTAGATCAACCTTGTTCACTTAAATTAAATTAATAGTTTCTTGAAATATACGTATATTTTGCATTTACTGTATAGTTTATTACATTGTTTCAATCAGCAAAATAAATAAGTAAAATAAAAACACCTAAATAATTTACAAGCTAGTAATTCTACCTAACCTAGAAAGAAGAAAAAGCAATCTGAATATCTCTTGCCTAGATAACTGGAATTTTAGGACAGCATTTTTTTTTAACTATTCAGTATAGTTATTTAGGTTGTGCAGGTTCTATAATTAAAACGTCACAGGACAGTCTCATTAATATCAAACTTTTAGTGACCATATAGAATTTTTTTACAGTATACAGTATATATGAATCCCTTATATACTTTGAACATGTTCATTCACAAAAGGATTTGATTAATCGTTTAGATGCTAATGTGCATTAAAATATTTGTTTAATTGCTGACACAATTATAATGATTTATTTAATTTTAAACTAATCAGTTTTTATTCAGTTATCTTTTCTATCTTTCCTCATTTCATTTCTTGCCAGAAAGGTATTTCAGGTTCGCGCGTTATGCAAAGCAGAGTAGAAAGACACAGCATGTTCTGCTGTTTGGCGACGCTTTTGTCTGATTTTAAACTATTTTATGGTCATGCACATTAATTGCCGGTTTTTTTACGTCGGTAGTGAGGGCTAAGAGCCAACTCGCGTTAATTATCTCCGTGCAGCTTCGGCTGATTATTTAGCTTAGTTTTAATTTTATATTTCTATTCTGAGTTGCAGCCAAAAGTTTTGGCTAAGTTTGTAAGCACCAGGAGCACTGTCGCTGTTCAAGAGTGCTGTAAATTCTTTCTTGAGTTGAATAAAAGGTCTTTCCAACTTTCTGTCATTGATACAGTTTGAACTTAGCGAATAGTCACTTAACAATTCAAGTGAAGGTCTAGCCAAAGTGAAGCAGCTAGGATCTTACGCAATAAATATTTTATTTTCAATTTATCATAATTCGGCGAATGCAAATCTTCTCTTAAGGTTTTTTATTTTTTATTATTTTTTTTTAAAGCAAAGCGAAACAAAGAATTTATATTTCGCCATCCATACATCATAAACAAGCGATATTTAGCAATGTCCAATTATGTTATAGAACTAATACAATAATTAATCGAAAATGTTTTGTCTTAAAGTAATACCATTAATGCAGTTTATTAATTCCAGTCTTTCCTAATTTATTTCTTTTGGCAGTCCAGCAGTACCACGTGTCAGTTAAACTAGGAAACAAAGGCACGATTCAACGAACTATAGGAGATATTGTGGTAGTACTGAAAGGTCGTTTCGGATCTCTCCCTGTGAACGTTAACGGAAGGTAAGACGATCTTAATTCTGACAGTAATACTGTAATTTAAGGGGCAAAAAAAATTTTTTTCTTTCAATTTGCAATCAGAAACCTTTTTATTAAAGTAGGGTTCTTGAAATCGGTGAGCATCTTCATATAACATGCACTTTTCTAGACTGAAGAAAGAAAATAATGTATACACGCTGTTCATATTACCTTACACAAAGTATTAGTACCAGTAACCTTTTGATGGTCGTCAACAAGCTCAGCTTGCATTCCAGTTACGCACCGAAGTGGGAACAAACGAACACAGCTCGCATTAAAAATTTACGACTCACAGATATCGCGCATATTTAGAAAGAAAGAATGGCTTAATCTCGCAACTGCCGAATGTTTAAACGTAAATTATGATTCTAATGACTTTAAAATTCTTATATAAATTAGCTTTTCAACAGTAAAAATGTTATTATTATAACATTTTATGAAAAGTAAAATATTGTTATTGCCGTTTCCTATAAGAAGGGTGATGCTAATTCTTTTCACCAGAATTGATCTGCCAGATTCAGTATCTAAAACGCCTCTTCAATGTGTTTTCCTGAATAGGCAAGACTAATATATTATATAATTGCAAGACTTTTAAAAGCTATCTAAACGGCGGAAGATTTGGGTGCGCAAACCTGCCTGAGGCATAAGGAATTATAAATGTAAAATAAATTTTCGACAGCATCCTTCTCAGGTGGCGCCTTAAGCATTTGCTTTTTTTTCCCCCTGAAGATTAATCTAGCTGTGTGCGTATACGATATCCAACTGGCTTCGATACTTATTTGTATATACGCAAGGTTAGGGTAGGGGGGAGGTTTTTTCCTAAACATAGTATGCAAAAGAGAAATAAGTGCCTGAAAGTCTCCTTTCTTTTTATGATTTTGTTTGCATAGCTAACACATCACCGGCTAAGTAGACTGTCGAATACTGGTAGTTCGACTCGGATTTGAACCCGAGGGAACGGGTTGGCTACATGGGTATTTTCGTGATTTTTCTCATGTGTAACATAAAAAATACGAGCCAGTTTCACTTGGACAGTCTTTCACAAAGGTATTCCTCCCCTTAAAGCTGATAGCCCTCGTCTGCTTTCCCCACGATTATCGCGCAGAGTGCGACAAGCACTTCGCATAGATGTTTTTGCAAAAGTATTCGCAATAGTAAATCAGAAAATGAGAAAAGAAAGTGGGCTGCTACAAACCCACGAGTCTTAAATACTGTAAGGTTATAAGGTATTTCTCCCGCCTTCGTGGAGTAGTGGCCTTCGTGGTGTAATGGTCAGCACACTCAGCGCTTAACTGAGAGGTACGCGGTTCGATTCCCGGCGAAGGCGTTGCATATTTTTCATCTTGCCTGCTTCCAAAAAATATCCGAATGTTTCTACAGTGTCGCCCGAACTAAAAGGGTGTTGGATGATGATTCTCCTCACCCAGGATTTGGCGAATGGGTCCCCTAAAAACCCCAGTCGCCTTTTAAAAGGGGAAGTATATAAGGTATTTCTCCCGCATTCTTAGCGAGCCTTCGTGGTGTAGGCGTAATTGAGAGATCCGCGGTTCGATTCCCGTCGAAGGCGTTGCATATTTTTCATCTGACCTGCTTCCAAAAATTGCCTAATATCTTTACAAGGCAAGTAAGATGAGGAAAACTGAAATACTGGAAGTGTGTATAGAAAATATGTCAGAATGTTGAGAAGAAAGTCATGCCATCGACGGGTAAAAAATCTCATATGCGGACAGAGCGTTCCTCTGGTTATGTAACAATTTATCACGTGGCCTCTCCTCTCGCATTGCAGAGTCGTGAGCTCCAACAACTTCCATGCTTAAAACCGAACGCGGAATTTAAACTATGTCATTCGATAAAGGAACTGAATATGATTGCAATTAATAAACTTTTAGGAAACAAACCATAGATAAGAACATTACTTTGAACACATACTGGCAAATCTACCAGTTCTCACAACAGACCAGTAGAATAATTATCTTACTGCTTTCTTTATGTAGACTACTACTGCGAGCATTGTTTAGCTGCTACTTTCCACCAGCACAGAACGCTTAGCTATGAGAGAATTGTCTGTTGTTTTGGTCTGCGCTTATGTTTATCGGATCGCACATTTGCAGCTAAACATTTATTATTTAATTATAGGAAGTACCTAACATTATGTTACAACCATTATATATATTAGTCGCAGCGATTTTGTGCTCTACATTTTTGGGAGATTTTCGAGTTCTTAGAGTCTGAAAACGAAATTCTTAATATAATATGCAGGGTATATAATATAATATGCTAGATTAAATCGAGAAGTCAGCCCATACAATTTCATTTTATTGCACATTTGAAATGCTTTTCCCAGGCATATTTTAAGAAATAGCGAATATCTACCTTTATAGACCTGAAATTTAATTTCAACCGATAACTGACATAATAATTTTTAACTTACAGGAATGGACTGATAAGTCCAGGCATGGTTTACAAGACAGTAGTGACAACAGACGAAGACATAGCAGTAGAACAAATCACATTCCGGTGGACGTGTGCAACCTTTACCGTCTCCGAGAGCATACGCATCAATATCGAACAGCCCGAAGGATGCAAACTGTACCTACACAGCATCATTGTTACAACATTTACTGCATCACCAATGTAAGTATTTATTCTATGTGGGTTGCATGACAACATATATCTAATACAGTAAAAGTATATTACAGTGCACCTCTTTATTCTGCATCCTATGATTCAAAAACATCTATACTCCAGTAAGTTTTAAATCTGCAGCCATTAGTTATCATACAATAGTCTGTCTTTTTACAACATTAAAGTGCCTCTTAAAAGAGCATTACTTTAATGTTGTTTAAGATGTCAAAGAGTTATTTTAATGCTGTTTCGCCCTTCTGGTTGGCCTCATAACCATGGCAAAGACTACTGCGAAAGATGATCTAGTCTTCTAATTTGCTAGCGGTTATGATAATACACGTTGCGCTCTTAAATGAGTGCAGGTTGGCACCACCTAGAAGCGCCAAATTTAAAGTATAGAGGTTCAGAGTTTAAAGTTTATTATTTACACTGCAACCGAGTGTCTAATTTTAAAGGCACGTTTAATTTCTAATATTCTGCGTTACCACTACCTTTTAAAGACTCCGTTAAGAGATTAACAGGAGGTACACCTGCAGAAATGGATAAACATTAATAATGAAGCAGTTATTTATGAATGAACTAATCCAAAATCATACAGATGATTCAACAAGGCTAGAAGAAACAGCAAAGAAAAATATATGTTTCTGTAAATGATATTTTATTCAACAACAAGAGATTTAATCACAGGGCTAGACCAAGGAATCTTTATAACAAATAAAAAAATTACGTCTGTTTACTAGATTCAACAGTAGTTCGTTACGGAAAAGTATCATCAGAAAGTTGCATTGCAACAACGGCTGAAGAGGTCGTCCATAATACTGACAAGGCCATTTTACAATGCATAAAATCCACTTTCGTATACTTCCTCTATCCTTAACGTGCAAGCAACTGTATTTCCTGCCTATGGAAACTTAAGATCTTCATACTATGAAGAACCACAGATCCTGTAGACGTTGCTAACCCTAATGCAGTTTTAATTCAAGCCTGTACTACAGTATTATTTCCGGTTTACTTTTAATAGCACACGAAACAATAAAAACCTTTTTTAATAACAGTCAATTATTGCATTCTTTCTTAAGAATGCAATAATTGCCTTAAGCCTTGTTCAACCTTTGCCATTATATCTTGGGTAAGCCAGGACGTCTATATATGGTTGCAGCCAAGATCCTAGATAAGGGAGTGCATACAATATTAGATCAAGAAACTAGGATGCTATTCGAACTCGCGGGGGTGGGGGGGCACCTGTGGTCGAGCGGATAAGATGGCTGAGCATTGGTAATTTCGCCCCAAGAAAATCAAATGGTTTGGCTGCAAGAGTGTGTTCGTGATTTTTCTTGTGTGTAACATGAATACTAGTCATGCCTTTATTTAGCGAAGTAGCCCTCATCTGCCTTGCCGCAATCACACAAACGAGCAAATAAATAATGAACTGGAATACAAGAGTTTAAGTTGATTATTGAAAGATGGGAAATAAGAATAAAGAGATTCCCGAACTGTTTTTTTAACTTAGTCTTATATTACAATTTTTCTGCTGCCTGAATTAAATATTTCTAGAAGTTCCTTTTCTATTTTGATTCTTCTTTCTTGAACAAATTTTGAATGTACACATGACATACACATTAGAACATATTCATGAAAAATTTATCGCAGCCTTTACAGTAACAATAAGCTTTCTGATGTCCGGTACTCAGTTTAAATCATTCACTGGCACAATGAAAAAGCAAGGCCTTTTTTTTTCACTTATGTAGCAAGATATTATCTACAGCTCTTACTATGGTTGAACATCTAATTGTAACCCTCCCTGTTCAGTACATTTACTCGGATCAAAACCTCCCCCTTTTTTTTCAAAAATATATATTTCACTAATTATAGCATAAGTATTTATTGTACTTAATTCGATAAATTTAAGGAGTTCTTCCCAGACAGCCATTCTTCATCAAGAAAAGAATTCCAACTGAGAACTGCTACTTTCCCGATACGTCGCTTGTTTCAACTGCCATTACGCTGTAGGTATCTTAGTCAAGTACTAACTATAGCTTCTTTCACTATCAATCCAAGCAAACTGATTAACTCGTTTTGAATTTGAGATAACCATTTAAGTAGCATATTTTACTATCTTTCTGAGAACGTATTTTCAGTATTTCTTCTCTCGTTTCGATTCATGGCGAATCAAGCGTTTTGACAATTTCCTTCCTACTGTGTTTTACCGCTAAAACAGAGATCATCGGTTCCACAAAACATAAGTATGGAAATTAATGACGCTAATACATTTTTATTTTCAATTATTATTACACAAAGTCACTCGCTTAATCAATCACATGTATATTAAACACACACACACAATAAAAAAAATTAATTCCTGCAACTTACACATCCAATTCCAAACTCAGTCTGCCCAAAGTAAAATCTTACAAACAGGGTCTGTCTACGCAAATGCTACTTAGCCGGCGAATTTAGTTAGGAGAATGCTACTGAGCTATCCCTAAATCAGAATTTAAAAATCTGTAAAAAATATTTTCACACATTTTTTAAATTAATATTTTATTTCAATATAATATTCTAATAAATGTAAAGAAATTTAAATTATATATAAACTAAATATAAAGTCCTCATATGAAAAAAACTGCAGTGGGGGGGGGAATAATGATAAGTACACAGTGGGAAAAAAGGGGAGTACAGTATCTTCCGTTCTACTGGGCCGATTGGCGAAATTCAAATTGCGTTTTTTTTTTTTTTTTTTTTTTTTTTTTTTTTTTTTTTTTTTTATTTTTTTTTTTTGTTTTTTTTTTTTGTTTTTCCCGTCTCGCAATTTCAGATATATATTAGATTTATACATAGAATTGTTATAGCAAAGGTATTTTGACACAAAATCGGACTTTTACTTAAATAATATACCAAGTTTTTTCCATATTTCAATTCTACGACTCAAATTATGCCAGATTGCCAAGTTTTGTAAAAATCGCGCGAATAGTTTCCAAACAATTACCTCTCAAAATTTTAGCTCTTCCACGTTAGTTGATTTGGTATATATGTATTAATATACTTTTTTTTTATTAAACTTTTTTGATTCTTCGTCGAATCAGGCCTGGATATTAAATTTTGAAAATTTCGGTCAGAAATTTATAAATTTATCCTGGCGATTTTTTTTTCAGTTTGCGAAAAGAATAATTCACTTGGCGAATTCTTAATTTGTAGCAACCTATTTACTTTCCTTTTTATTTCCTTGTATGAAGTAAAAGAAGTAATGTAATCACAAAAAATTCCGGGTACCATATTTCAACGAAAATATCCATTCGAACGCAATTTAACGATGTTTTTGCCTGACATCTGTACGTAAGGACTGAATAAAGAACTCTTTTTCCCAAAATGAATTAAAAAACTGATTTGAATTGGATTCAGAAGAAATTTTTTTGGTGGATGTACGTACGTTTCTCGCATAACTCAAAAACGAATAGTCTCAGAACGTTGAAATTTTGTATATAGTGCTGCTATAACATGCAGTTTGCACCTTCCCTTTTGGTTGCAATCGGCCGCACCAAAGCATATACATATATATATATATATATATATATATGCTTTTGTGTAAAAAGAAATAGTTATATATATATATTATATATGTTGTATCTTAAATCCTTTATTGCGAATACTATTTATTATTTGCGCAATTGCCTCAAGTTAATTAATAATAATTTATTTCCTAAACAGTATTGATTAATTGATTATATTATCTCCTAAGTTTAATTAAAGTAGAATTATTTTAAAAGTGTGAATCCATACTGGTAAGTTATATTTTGAAAGATGTTTTGAAGTAATTTGAAAGCAAAATGTTAATAATGTTTTTAAACGGGGACTGGAGTTAAATCATCACGAAGAATAAAATTTCAAATGTAAAAGGAAAAATTAAAACATGTAATCATTGTCATGATCGGAAATTAGTTGACTTTTCAAGGGGAACAAACCAACTCCCGTTCAATGAACAATAATTGAAAATACGTAAATACACAAAGTGTTTCGTCTTTACTCGAGTTATAAGTTAAAGCCAAACCGGCAATTCTAGTCAGGCCAATTATTTTCCGCGAATAGAAGGAATTAGGAACCAATGCTGATACTCAAAGAACTTATTCTTATGAAGCATTTTAGTCAATTCAATTTGGAGAAAATATCAATTACTGTAGAGAAATCCTATTAAACTCGAGTAACCGTCCCCGACACTTTCATGTTTATGCATTTGAGTACTATATTATTTGTAGAAATTAAACATTGGAAATTGTCATTATGAAATCGAATTCAAAGTAAAGTTGAAATAAACATAGAAGATTATAAAAAAAGATAAATAATGCAAACTTTGTAAAAACAAACCAAAGACAATATAAAATAATATAAAAAATAATATAGAAAATAATATAAATAAATCAGTGAATGTACCATGAAGATATAAAGGCCAGAAAGGTATTAAGTAACTTACATTCTTTCTAGGGGGAAGTTGGCAAAGTGTTCTCTTCGTGTCTGACTCAGAAGTGTAGGGTGTCCGAAAATTTCTTAGCGACAGTAGGGGGCTTTGAATAAAATCAGTCGGTAAGACTTGAATACTGTTTAGGAAATAAATTATATATATATAATATATATATATATATATACATATTTCATTTTTTCTTTATATGTTGGTAAAGTGTGCATTTTTTGCTTTGAAAATGATTGAATTATGCTGTTCTTATCTTCCGGTTAAGGTTTTTATGCCTTTACTTAATCTGCATGCAATATTTGTAGAATTATCAACAATTTAAAAGTTGTTTAAGCGCGGCTTGGCCTAATTTTTTTTTTTTTTTTAAACCATGGCAGTCATATTTGTTTACATTTGAAACTTAGCAGAATAGCGAATTAATTCTTTTTGAACCTTCAGTGTCTTTTTGTCGAATGGGAACAAAAGGAAACTTAGTTTCGTGCACCGAAGGTACTCCGTAAGCAAAACGCCTTGGGCCTTGGGCCGAAAAACCTGCCTTCTTGCCAGCTGGCCGAATTGCTTGTTTTTGC